ACATTGATATTATTCTTTCAACCTAGTTTCATTTCTAATTCCAACTCACTTTATTGACATGGCTCATTTATCCAAGTAATTTAAATGAAACTACAACTCATAAATACAATACTTCAATTCATCAACAATTTAAAATGAGACTATAACTCATAATATCAATACTTTAATTCATAAAAAACGTTCATACACTTCCATTCATAAGATTTCGAGACTTTCACCCTGGACACTCTAGCCAACTTAATTATCAATGGAGTCCGTCCTCTATCTTCTCCCAAACAATGGAGTACATCCCATATCTCCTCTGTTATAGCGATCCCGATTTTTCCCATCATATATTGTGTTCTGAACTTGAGTTTCGTGGTTGTTTGTTGTTGTCTTGTCTTGTTTCCATCCTTACATTCTTTGTATTTGAGTTGTGGGATGTGTTGGTTAGATTTGGGACAGGTTGGTTGTGAGTTGAAACAAATGGTTGCTGTCCAGAACTTGGCATCTTCGCTCGAGCGATGCTTTTTGTGTTCGAGCGAGCCTTGAGTTTTTGCTTCTTCGCTTGAGCGAAGGTTATTACACTCAAGCGAGCTTTCTGTGATGTGTATCTTGCGCTCGAGTGAGCACTCTTGGGCTCGAGCGTGCGCCTGCGTCTAGTTTGGACCTGAAGGTTGGTATTCTTCGCTCGAGCGAGGCTTTTGTCGCTTGAGTGAGTGAGCTCTATGTTTTGTGTCCCTTTGCTCAAGCGAGCACTCTTGCGCTCGAGCGTGTTTCTGCGTTGCAGACCTGAAGCTTTGCATTGTTCGCTCGAGCGACACTTCTTGTGCTCGGGCGAGGTTCTATTGTGTCTGGTCGCTCGAGCGACCACTCCTTCGCTCGAGCAAGCCTCGAATATATCAGATCGTAGCAGGGTAATTTTAATCACTTTTTCATCCCCTTTTTCACTCCAAACCCTAGATTCGACTCTCTCTCTCTCTACACACTTCTTCTCTCTACAAATACACCTTGTTTTAAGGGTTCTCTACCTAGTCTCTCTGTATAAAAGGTAGAGCTTTGTGTGGGCTTCACTTTGATCCGAAAAATCTTGAGTTTGGTGCACCTTGGGTCTCTCTCTCTCTCTCTCTCTCTCTTGGGATTCTCCATTTAAGGTAGGGATGATCTACTCCTTTTTATGAGTTTTGACATAAATGTTGGTTATTTTGTATAGATGGTGGTATTTGGGAGTTTTGCGTAAAGTTAGGGTTTGATTTGAAATTATAAAAGAGGGGTTGTCATGTCTTTGGGCTCCTTTGTGTGTGAGAGGTCTTGAGATTGGATCTGTTTGTGTACAATTGATGAAATCGAGTATTTGGGACTTGACGTTTGAAAAAGAGAAGTTCTGCCCTAGTTGGGAATTAAATAAATTATTTGGTATAATATGAAATTGATTTGATGATTATGAAATTGGAGAAAATTGTGATTAAATGGTGTAGTTGGGTTGATAAATCACTCACCCATGGAAAATGTAATAATTTATCTGTTTGATAGATTTATTTATCTGTCTAGAAATAACTGTTTTGGGCTATCGGTGGAGGATAGCCATGATTGTTGTAGGGACTACATGATGATTAGGTGAATTGAAATTAATCAATTGGAATATGTCATTGAATATGACGGTTGGATATAAACATTGAATATGTGATTGAATTGGTCATTGTATATGACAACGTGTTTAAATACATTGTATATGTACATTGTTTGGGAGGAGATAGGGGATGTACTCCATTGTTTAGGAGGAGATAGGGAATGTACTCCATATGTGAGAATGTGCTTTAATACATTGTATATGTACTCCATATGTGATAATGTGCTTTAATACATTGTATATGTACTCCAGTGATAATGTGCTTTAATACATTGTATATGTACTCCATATGTGATAATGTGATTTAATACATTGTACATGTATCTTATTTGGGAGGAGATAGGGGATGTACTCCATTGTTTGGGAGAAGATAGGGGATGGACTCCATTTAAAATTAAGTTGGCCGGAGTGTCTAGGGTGAAAGTCCCGAAATCTTACGAATGGAAATGTATGAACGTTGTTTATGAATTGAAGTATTGATATTATAAGTTGTAGTCTCATTTTGAATTGTTGATGAATTGAAGTATTGTATTTATGAGTTGTAGTAGCATTTAAATTACTTGGATATATGAGCCATGTCAATAAAGTGAGTTGGAATTATAAATGAAACCGGGTTAAAAGATGAATATCAATGTTGATGGGTTATAGAAACGGTATAAAGTGATGTACATGTGGTGAACATTTATCTGATGCTAATGTTTAGTTATTTCTCATATTTGGTTTAGTATATCTCTACTGGGCTTTGGCTCACCCTATTTGGGACACCATTTTTCCGGTACAGGCTATATGCCACCTCCAAGGGCATAGCTTGGAAGGTTTTGAAGCTGAATGCTTTATTTTGTTGTTCTGCTTATACGTGTATTTAAATGTAAATCTAAGCTAAGGGCTTTACTTGTAAAAGAGTTAAAACTCTTCTTTTGTGTAACCAGGGACGGAATTATGAAGGGGCTGTCAGGGGCCATGGCCCCCCCGCTTAAAAAAAAAAAAAAACTTATTTATATATATTTTTTCAACAAAGTATTAATAATAAAATGACCCTGCTTTGTTTTGTGGGCTGGGCTGGGCTCAATCTATTTGTTAGATGGCCAAGGAGGGCCATGTGCCTTCTTTAAAATAAAATAAAAAGCCTGAATGGAAATAGAAAAAGACAAAAAGAAGAAATAAAGAAAATCTAATTCCTATGACCTACTTTACGCCGCAGTTTATTGAAAGCAAGCATTGAAGCATAGGAATTTTTTTTTTTTTTGAGTTAAATCAAGTTGGGATACATAAAAAAAAAAAAAAGTATTGCTTCTGCTATTAATCTTTTCATTATTACAGGTATGTGATTCATATTATCTTTTATTATTGTTTTCAATTTGTAATACTTTTATTATCTTTTTTTTAATGTCATATTGATACAATTGTAATTTTTTTTTAAATTTACATATTAAGAAAAAAAATCATGAATTAGGACGTATGATTTTAATTACTAGGGTTTTTTTTTTAATCATATTTGGGCAAATTTAATTTTATTCAGATTAAGTGTTATAAATTCAAAATTAAAATGAATTGAGACTTGTATAAAATTTATGTGTTGAATCTGAATTCAGAATTTTTAAATTTATATGAAATTTGTTTTAATTATATTTGTTATTCTAGGCACAAAAATTTTCTATGTCCTGTGATATATATATATATATATATTACATTAGCAATTGGTTTTAATTTCTAATAGAATATTAACCATGTATGTAATGAATTCTATTTTGATTTGTAGATTATTATGGGAAAGCCATGTACAATTGATAGATTTTTTAAAAGAAAAAATGCAAGTTTCTCAGAAGTCAATGCTAACAATGCATCATTGCCAACTTCCAATGTTGATATCCTTGAAAAACCTCCCACAAAATCTCAAAAGATTGATGTTAAAGAAATTGATATTTGTTCATTGGAGCGAGATCCTGGATTACGTATATAGATTTGGGATTATCATGTTAATCAACGTAATGAAATTCGACGAGCTTATATTAAGGCTGGTCCATACCAACCTATACTTTCAAAGTATCTGAAATCTGGATCAACAACTCATCTTCGTAGCTTTCAACCGTTATGGTTCAAACTATTTCTATCATGGTTGGAATATTCACCTGCAAAAGATGCAGCTTTTTGTTTACCATGCTTTCTTTTTTATAAACCATGTGGATCTAGATATTATGGGCAGCAAGCATTCACTATTGATGGGTTTCAGAATTGGAAAAAAGTTAGGGATGGAGCAAAATGAGCTTTTTTAAATCATATAGGAAAAGATCCTAATTCTTTTCACAATGTTGCCGAGAGATCATGTGAAGACTTGATGAATCAATTTCAACATATGCACAAGGTATTGGACAATTTCACTTCTGAACAAATTGTAGATAATCGACTAAGATTGAAGGTCTCAATTGATACAATCCGATTGCTTGCATTTCAAGGTTGTGCTTTTAGAGGTCATGATGAAAGGCCAAATTCAATCAATCGTGGAAATTTTCTTCAAATAGTGAAATTGTTGGGATTATATAATGATAATGTTGCTAAAGTATTGAATAAAGCTCCGAAAAATGCCTCTTACACATCACCAAAGATTCAAAAAGAAATTTTACATATTTTTTCAACCAAAGTGAAGAATGCAATTCGTGAAGAAATTGGTGATGCGAAGTATTGCATAATTGTTGATGAAGCTCGTGATGAGTCAAAGAAGGAGCAAATGGCTATAGTTTTAAGATTCGTTGACAAATATGGTTTTGTGAGAGAGCCTTTTTTTGGGTTTATTCATGTCTCTAACACTGCTGCATCAACCCTAAAAGATGGAATATATTTTGTATTGTCTCATCACAATTTAGATATTCAGAATATTCGGGAACAAGGATACGATGGTGCAAGCAATATGTGAGGTGAGTGGAAAGGATTACAAGCATTAGTTTTGAATGATTGTCCATATGCTTATTATATTCATTGTTTTGCACATCGTTTGCAGTTGGCTTTAGTGGCAGCATTGAAAGATGTTATCCCAATTCATAAATTTTTTCTTAAATTGACTTTCGTTGTCAATGTTGTTGGTGCCTCATGCAAGCGCAATGATGAATTGAAAGTTGCGCAAGCTGCTGAAATTGAACATATGATTGACATTGATGAGCTCGAGACTGGAAAGGGACTTAACTAGATTGGCACTTTACAACGAGCTGGAGATACTCGTTGGAGTTCTCACTTCAAGTCAGTTTCAAGCTTAATAAAAATATTCAGTCCAACATGTGAAGTTCTTCTTAACATCATTAATGAAAGAACGACTTCTGCCCAACGAGGAGATGTTGACTCAACTTATGAAACATTGACTTCATTTAAATTTGTCTTTATTTTGCATCTCATGAAAGAAATGTTGGAGATCACTGACTTACTTTGTCAAGCTTTGCGATGCCGATCTCAAGACATCTTAAATGCTATGAATCTAATTTCATCTACCAAGGCACTTCTGCAAAAGTTTAGAGATGACAAATGGGATGCTTTACTAGCCAATGTGCAATCATTTTGCGAGGTACGTAACATAGATGTCCCGAATATGAATGCTCCTTATATTAGG